CTATTGTACGTAAAGATGACGCTTTTTATAAAAAACCGTCGTCGATTGTATGTAAAGATGACGCTTTTTATAAAAACCGTCGTCTATTGTATGTAAAGATGACGCTTTTTATAAAAAAAGGTCGTCTATTGTATGTAAAGATGACGTCTTTATAAACAATCCACGACGGTTTTCATAAAAAAATCGTCATCTTTACATACAATATACGACGGTTTTATTAAAAACAGTCGTCTTTCCTCCTATAATTAACGATCTTTACCTCTAAACAACGACGATTTTCTTTGAAAACCGTCATCTTTACTGATAAACAACGACGGTGAAAAGCCGTCGTAGTTTGAAACCCAAATAGACGGCAGTCGATTTCACGACCGGGCGAAAACCTTTTACACGACGGTGGTTTCCCGTCGTCTATTTCGATTTTTGTAGTAGTGATTGTACAGGAGTTAACTAAAGTAAGTGTTGAACATCAAGCACAATCTAACTTTGCACCATTTAACTTATATTATTATCTTACTGGATATCAAGCGTTTGCTTCTTTTTAAGCTCACCATTGCTGATTAAATATTATGGATGCATAGAGCACACTTAGTAGTTCATTATCTCAATTTATGTAGTTCATTCAAAAATCACATCCCAAAACATAACAAAACAAATTCAGATCATAACAGATTCTTGAAGATGCAGAACACTTTCAAGTGGCATGAATGTCCCTTTATATTAGATCACACAATTCCTATAAACCCAAGAGATCATTGGACCAAATAATTGTGTTTCTTCAATTGTTTTTTTGTCAGAATAAAAACCTAACTTAGTAATAAAATTCAATCAGCAAAAGAAAAACTTCAAAATCATTGTAGCCTGGACAAGCTTCAAGCATAATATTCCTTACGACAAACAGATAAATATTTACACAATCCCAAAATTTTGGTTCAACAAGTTTTTGTATAATCCTACTTAAATAACATTCTCTACACAAGCTAAAAAAATATTAATTTAAAAAAAAAAGAGATAAAATTTTTAATTAAACTCACAACTATGTTTCAACAAATTTCTGTACAATCTCACTCAAATTTGACTTGGAGGGACTTGAAGTGACATTAAGCACCAAAAATTCCAACCCATATATGAAATTGAAACAAGCAGAAGAAAACCCAAATAACATATGGGTATGAAAGTAAAGTAGAAAAGTTGAGTACCTGAGATGCCATGGATTTTAGGAAAGCTGAGAAAAATTGAGAAATGTGTTGAATTAGAGGGGAAGAACAGCAATCGAAAGAGGTGACAGAGAGTGAGAGATGGAGGTGGAGAAGGGCGGCCGCAAGAGAGAGGGATGGGTTAGGTTTTCTGAGGAGGTGGTAGTTGTCGTCATCATGGGTGGGAGCGAGAGAGAGAGAAGAAAAGAAAAGATAGGATATGGAAGATATAACTAAGAGGATATGGAGTTAGGTGAGATTCGTGGAGGTGGATTTTCTGTGAGGTTTGAAGAAGAGGAAGAGAAAGAGACTAGGGAGAAGAGGAAGAGGAAGAGGAAGAGCAACGACTGAGAAGAAAAAAATAGTGACAGATGGGCAATAGACTGTCAATAGGGAGTTTTTATAAGGGGTATTTGTGATTAGATTTCAAAATGGGGATATTATTGAATAAATTAGTTGCGCCGGGGGCAAAGTTGCCAATTTCCCTTAAAAAAACTTAATAGCTCACCCGAGATAAGTTGAGATAAGTCTATGTTTTTTGGCTCCACTACGATTATGCCGTGTGACACATGATACACTCATCACTCATTACTTTATCAGGAAATTAATGAACTTCATCGCCACCACTTTAGCCAATAGATATTTTTATATATAAAAAGATAATAATGTTTTATTATCAGCTTATTCGATGTTTCCGTTATGCCACTGCCTATGTAGTTTTTTTTTGGGTCAATTAAATATATGGAGGTTGATCTACCAATTTGCAAAGAAGCCTCAGAACTTCAGAAGTCTTAACAGAGGATCAATTTTCCTACATCCATGGCCAAAGTCAAAAGTGAACCCTGAGACCAGTCAGTCAACCCTCTCCTTCTAGAAAATTAAATCCACTTTGAAACCCAACTCACAAAATTCAAACCCACAACGACACATGTGGCCTACCCACATTATTATTCATATTCTCTCCACTATAAATAATAATAAACTCTACCTTCATTCTCCATCACTCATTCCCTGCCTTAGAAACCAAAATGGCTCAAATCATTGTACCCAGCAACATATTTCTAACCCTTATTATTGTAGCTGCAGCTGTGGCTGGGTATGTGGAGGCTCAAAGCCCGAGCACTAGCGACGTGTCGGTGGCGGATATCGTCACGCCCGAATTCTTCAACGGCATAATTGACCAGGCCGATGCAAGCTGTGTCGGCAAGAACTTTTATTCCCGAGCTACCTTTCTTGAGGCTCTCAAGTCTTATGATCAGTTCGGTAAGATTGGTTCCATTGATGACTCTAAGCGTGAGATTGCTGCCTTCTTTGCCCATGTCACCCATGAGACTTTTCGTAAGTTCTTTATTCTCTCATCAATTATTTCTTCCACTTTATTCATTTTTTACATATATTTGTAATTTGTAGTGTGCATATGTTTGTACAAGTTGGTCTCATCACCGTAGGAGAAGTCGATGTCGATGTCGATGTATTGTCGATGTGTGTGGTCCAGAAAGATAATTTGTCGATGTCGTATGATAAAATAGCCCCATCATTTTTATACTTCCACATGCAACTTTTAAAGCCATTGTATATTTAGTGTTGTTCATTATGATTGTTGTAGTAGTGCCCACGGTCAAACACGTAGACGCGAGTCTAATTTATTTGTATCAAGTTAACTGACGGTACTCTCTCTCCAATAATAGAAGTAGAAAACACATATTTTGTTTGCTTTCTTGTTCAAAATTTTCAATTTTTTTCATTGGTTTTTTATTTTATTTTAATGGGGCGACGAGGATGAGGAATCTACAATTTGAATATTATGGGGATGGAGGCAGGAATAGGGGAAAAACTTAACGGTAAATGGAGATAATAATCGTGTAAACTGGCCTGATTTGCTCCATTAATTGTCACCCCTAGTAGAAACTACAAAGTTACATCCCTTGTAGACGAGTCTTATTTTTATTAGAGAGATTGAACACTATGTGACCAATTAAAAACTTAAGATAATACAAATAAGGTTGTTCTATAAATAGATATTTAAGCCATTAATATGAGGTTGATTAAATTGTGCTATTTTACATATACCGAAAAACGCAATTAGCAAAGGAATCCCAAAAATTGAGGGAAAAACGATGTTTGATTGTGCAGATTTCTGCTACATAGAAGAGATAGATGGACCCTCAAAGGACTACTGTGATGAGAGCAACACACAATATCCATGCAAGCCAAACAAGGGCTACTACGGACGTGGACCAATCCAACTATCATGGAACCCCAACTACGGGCGAGCCGGAGAAAGCATTGGCTTCGACGGATTAAACTCTCCTGAAACCGTTGCCAATGACCCCATCATCTCCTTCAAGACGGCGTTGTGGTATTGGATGAACAGCGTCCGACCGGTCATCGGAGAAGGTTTCGGTGCAACAATACGAGCCATTAATGGTGCCCTTGAATGTGATGGTGGAAACCCTGCTACTGTTCAGAAACGTGTTGAGTATTTCACTGAATATTGTAACCAACTTGGTATTGCTCCTGGGGACAATCTCACTTGCTAGGAGACATCTCAGTTTACTTGCTGAGCTAGATGTTATGTTTTCCTATTTAGATCGGTGCACTAGATATTAAGTCATATAAGGTTTAATAAGAGTTTGATTAAGTTATGCCTTGAGGAGTCCTATTTTGTTTCCTTTTTGCGTGAACCAATTTAAGTGGGCTTGAAAGATAAGTCAAGTCGGCCTTGGTGATGAGTAGAGACGACTTGACCTAGCCGTATATAAGCTAAAGGCCCTGCTCTCATCAGACACGTTCTCTAAACCTATTCTCATCATAAAGAGAGAGCTAAAACAGTTTGAGAGAGAGCAGAAGTCTTTAGCCGTTCCTGTTGTTGCTGGGATCACTGTTGCTACGCATAGGATGAATTCGGAAGCTGTGTATTCAAGGAAGATAGCTCCAGGTATGTTGTCACATCTTTATACGTATTGCAAGTCATGTGTAAGATCTAGAAATTGTATGTGAGGAATTTAACACTAGAAACATTCATCTCAGTTTAATGATAAATGTACCCCACATAAAACATTAATGAAATACCAGGAGATTTTTCATCGGTGAAATTGCCAATTAATCGTCACACACCCAAACAAGTGTGCAAGGGCGCACCAAAGAATCGCGGATTACACAATTGCCGTCACACTTTTCACACAACCTTCCGATGGCTATTCTGAGTTGCTTCCGGCACATAATTAGGTCAGGATTATGCTTAGCCATCTAACTAGCTATGTCACTGCATTACGACATAGGCCAGTATGTCTTATATATTGGTAAAGTGAAGACTAGTGTGACAAATGAGAAGGGGATTTTGGTGTTTACTTGCTGACCAAGGACAACCACATTCAAAAGTCGACATTATTTAAGCTGAAAAATGTGAGATACTTATTGGTTTTCGAGACAAGGGACAAGGACAAGGAGTTCATTTTCTGAATTGAATAAAGTAGCAGTGTCCATATGCCTATGAGATTAAGTTAAAAAAGGAAGGGGAAGGGTGATGACTATTGGCGTGAATCACTGAATCACAATAGGAATTATATACATTTACTTTTATTATAATTGATTGTAATTATAGGAATACCAGTTTGACCGGGATTATATTTATTTCCCTTTTCCTTATTGTAATTACTTTCTAGATAGGCTTGTATTTGTATCACTATAAATACCTCCTTGTGAGAAGAATAGAAATATATTGAATTATTCATAACCCTAAATTCTATTTGAGTTGGTATCAAAGCAGTGATCCTAGGATCCTGCTCCTTCTGCTATCCTTGCTCTTTATCCCTTACCACCTTGCCTTGCGACCGCATCTTGCCTTGTAGCCGTATCTTGCTGCCTTTTACCTATTGTCTTCTCTTTGCCGCTGCCGCTGTACCGTGCTGCTGCCGTACCTTGCAGCCTTATTTTTTCTACCCTTCTGCCGCTATTGCTATCATACCCCGCATCCTTATTTTTTCTACCCTTGCCACAATTTGCTGCACTTAATTCACCTTTATGGCTCTCCTTGCTATTGATTCTAAAAAGGATCATGGTTGGATTCTTGATTATGGAGTTACTGATCATATGACGTTTGATGTGTCTCTTCTTCACCGTCATTGTTCTCCTACTTGACTTCTCCAGTCACTAGTGCTAGAAGTGTTGATTTAACTCCCTCTCTGACATTGGAACATACTTTATTGGTTCATGTGCTCTCTAATAATTTGTTATCTATTCCGTAAATAACAAAACAATTAAATTGTTTAGTATTGATCTATCCTAGTTTGTCTTCTTCAGGATCTCAGCAACAAGGAGATTATTGGGTGTGATACTAAGAGAGGGGGCTTTTATTATGTGGATGATGTGTGTGAGAGCAAATCTCTATCTGTTTGGGGTTTGAACAGTGCATTTGAGGATCAAGTGTGGTTATGGCATCTTCATTTGGGTCATGCTTCATTTGGCTATTTAGAGCACTTGTTTCCTTCTTTATTTTCGGGTTGTATACCTTTGGATTTTAAGTGTGACACCTAAATTTTGGCCAAAAGTCATCGTGTAACTTATCCTATTAGTTCTAATAAAAGATTTGTGCCTTTTGCCTTGGTACATTCTGATGTCTGGGGTCCTGCTTCAGTTACTACAAGTTTTGGATTCCGTTGATTTGTTATTTTCGTAGATGATTAGACCCGCAAGACGTGGTTGTATTTGATGAAAAATAAGAGATGTTTCTGAGTGCTTTCAGATATTTCACAACATGATTAAAACTCAATTTTCTGCTACTTTGAGGTGCTTCGTTCTGATAATGGTGGTGAATATGTTAATTAGGTCATACGAAGTTATTTTCAAGAACATGGAATTCTTCATGAGACTACTTGTCCTTACAAACCTCAACATAATGGTGTGGCTGAAGGGAAGAATAGACAACTTAATCTTGAAATGACTCGTGCTAGTCTTATTGGTGCTCACATGCCACCATGGTTCTGGGAAGAAGCGATCACCTCTGCAGTATGCCTACTTAATCGTGTTCCTACTAGTGTCTTGTAGTTTAAGACGCCCTTGGCTAAATTGGAGGCTTATGTTTCTATTCCCTCTCATCTCACTCTTCTACCTCGTGTTTTTGGGTGCATTGCTTTTGTGCACTTGCAAAAACACCAACGCACAAAATTGGATCCTTGTGCTGTGAAGGGTTATCGGTGCTTTCATCCTCATCAGAAGGGTTATCGGTGCTTTCATCCTCCTACTAGTCATTTTTATGTTACTATGGATGTTACATTTTTTGAGCATAAGATGTGTTTTGCTCACCCAATATCCCCTTCTCCTCTTCTGGGGAAAAGTAGTGTTGAAGCGGATGGAGATATTTCAGGATAACATTGAGGTTAATTGACTAGCAATGTGTGATGTAGCAGCTAACACATAACTGACATGCACAATACCGACCAGTACCGCTCTTCCAGTAGTTGAACCAGTCAGCATTGCCCTTTAGACAACTGAACCAGTCGGCGCCGCCCTTCTGGCAACTGAACTAATCAGTGTCACTCTTCTGGCAGTTGGACCAGTAAGCGTCGCCCCTCTCTTTACTACTTCTCTAGTACCCAATCTCAATTCTCCTTAGGCTAATGATTTTGAGGTAGGTTCTGAACCTTTGATCAATACTAACAATTATTGTGAATCTACTGAGAATAGTGTGTATCAGTTACCACCAAGGAGAAATTGTGGGAAACCGCCAGATAGATATTCACTAGAACCTGTGAAGAAGGTGAAGTATCCTATTGCTAATTATATGTCTACTCAGCTTGCATCCATGGTTGAGATCAGAGCCACAGTGATTGCAAAATACATGAGGTGAACCTTAAAATCCAATTTCATTTTACAATTCTCTTTCTTTAAAATAAAAAAAACTCATTTGATTTCATATATTTAGGTACCTATTTGACTATTTAAAAATAGCAAATATGGTAAACCTTGTTGGCCTTGTCGACCTTGCACAAGTTAGCACTCAATCTAGATCGTTATCTCACATATCACGGCATCTAGCAGACCGACTGGAAAGGCTGAAGGGGAACAAGTTTTCTTAGTGCCTATAATCTAGGGTTAGTCCCATTAGCATGATTTTCTTTGTAATTAGGCAGCACCTCTAAATTATATTTAACCTATATCCTCATTATATGGATCCATTGCCAAACCGGATGGTTGACGAGGACTTGAAAAATATATTGAATACATAAGTTGATTTACTACATTGTAAACGTAGGCTAAAATATTTTCCATTAACACTTTTCTTGTCCTGAAGCAGTGCAATCAAAATCTATAACGCACACATAGGCATTCCTCAACAACCAACAAGTGTGGAGTGTGGCTACTACGTGATGTGTTTTATGAGAGATATAATCCATGATCCAGTCCTAGCATTTGAGAATAAGGTAAAAAACTAAATTTAAGATTTAATTAAAAAAAAATTTGTAAACTACGACGACTGTAATTGGAAAAACCTTCATTTGTATTTTTATAAAATGACAGCTTCTATAAGCCAGTTTATTAATAACCATCGTTTGTATTGCTTTAACACATCAATTTTTGTCATTATTTATTTTTTGTAGTTTGAGAAAAGTAAAAGAACCAGTTAAGTATGTCGAAGTGGATTGTTTGTACCCAGTTTTGGTAAACTGACCAAAAATGATTTACTTTTCAAAATAATATTTTAAAAAACCCAGGCCCAGCAGCCTTTGTCATTTTCCTCAAAACCAAAAGACCCTCATTACTAAAAAGGGACGTCAAAATAAAGAAAGGTTAATCTAAGGCCCAAGACAGGAAGCCCAGACTTTTGAGTCACACTAAATGATAAGTCCATAAATATACTCATTTATGTACTCTTTTTACTTAGGTTTTGTAGGAGAATTAGATTTAAAAAGGGCTTATTACTTTACTTTTCTGATTTTCAGTTTTTCTGCGCTCTTAGAAGGTTTTTAAGGAAAAATCAACTTTTCGGAGGAATTTTAGAGCAAGGCCAATTGGAGATGAAAGCTAACATCTTGAAGTTCAATCTGTGATTTTTCTAGAATTTTCTACCAAGCCAATTGGTACAGTATTACAAGTAAAGTTAGACCACGTGCAGACAAGACAGTTTCGTACATGTTACGTGAATGTGAAGAACGGAAGGCTTCCCGAATTTTCCAAGTTACGTGCTATATATGGTTGGAAAGATAAGACATTTATCTTTCTAAAATATATTTTTAATGATTTTTCTACAAGGCCGAAGATCCCCAAATCGTGTGACAATTGGGCTGAGCTGTATTTCCCTGTGGAGTTAGGAATTGTGATTTTTACTTTCCTATTTGGATTCCTTGTTTACCAAGACTTCTTGGACAACTTGTCAGTCAATTTTAGGGTTTTAGAACTCTGATATAAGTGATATAAAAGGCCAGCCAAGGCCCCAGATACAGATTCACGTCCAAAAGGGATCAACCGCGTAAGAGGAGAAAGCTGCCAACGAGTTCTTTCTTTTCCTTTCTTCTTTTAAGTTTCAGTTCTTATGTATTTATTTTTGAGTTCATCCAAGAGCATGAGTAACTAATTTCTTGTTAGTTAGGGCTTAATCTTGAAGCCCTAAACATGATTTCAATTCTATAAACAAGTTTGAATGGATTTTCAGTTTCTACAAGTGTGATGATTTCGGTTTCTCTATGTTTTGTGAATTCTGATATTTTGTTTCTTTGAGTAGCTAACTTTGAAGCATGTATTGGAATTAAATTGTTGTAGAACATAGGTCAATTGCCATATTGAATGTGTTCTTGTTTGCAACGAATAATTGGGTTAAGAACTAGTTATGAGAAATCGATTCTTGAATTCCTAATAACAAATGCCATGTTTTAGGGTTTTTGTGACACTCATATTCTCTTTGATCTTAATGGATTCTTGATTGTTAATTTGAGTAAATGCCATACTAGATTTCAATTAAGAATACACGTATTGATGTAAATGCCATACACTTTACATGCACTTAAGAGAGAATCATACAACTCGAGTCAAATGCCATGATCTTGTTGTGAGTGTCGTCATCATATGATTGCTAGAAATTGATTATCTATTGTTGTTTATGAATTGATTGATTGGTTAGAGGTGGATAGTGAGTCCTAGCTATTGTTCTTGATTGATTATAAACCAATTTCTCTTAAACTCTAATTTAAATTCTGTTTTGTTTTGTTTTCCTTATTTTGTTTTATTCACAAAATCAAATAAAACCCCCCCTTGGTGTTGGCGTGTGTGTGGAAGTCCTTGTGTTTTCGTTGCGTGACATTGATAAACATCTCTCTAGATTACAATCTCTGTGGGAATGACCCTTGCTTGCTTACTATACTATCATTTGATTTGTGCACTTGCAAGGTTTAAATATTGTTGTTAAAAATTACCAACACTAAAGTTAAAAAGAACGGTAACCGTTATGCATAAACCCACGTGAGGGCCTGAAGGAGGTTATCACCATTAATGACGACTTTACTCGCTTCTCGCCCAGCAAGGAAGCAAGTTGTACGAAAGCCACCAGAACCAGAGAAGGACCAAGTTGCCAACCAGATCTTCGAGTACAAAGGGTTCAAGTTAAAGGATCATCACAAAGGACCATCAGTTCTTGCTAGAAACGTTCCATCATTCCTCCTATGAACCATTTCAGATCAGTGAGCCAACAGCCGACTTTGGCCAGCAAGCCAAATATCCTTTCTCAGCCTCCATCATTGCAAGCTCTCTCCTTCCCTATAAATAAAGAGCTTCCGCCACAGAAGAAGGGGACTCTCTCTCCAAACTAGACTCAACGTCTCAAAAGTACTTGATAAACTCAAGATCTCTTCAAACCAACCTGCTTAATTTCCAGATAACCAGTCGACAACTCATGCGTTCATCTTTTGTTGCTCTGCCATCTTCATGGTATGATTTTCATCTAACTAGATAGAGAAATCTCCAGTCCTTCTTTGTTTTGTAATTTATGTTTGGATTAGTCATGGATTAGTTAAAAAGAACCTCTGTTTTCTTCCTCTCATTAAAGTCAAGATTAGATTAAGGGATTGTAGAATCCATTTTAACTGTTTCATTAATCATTTGTCATCTAATCGCTTAAATAGATTATAAATTGTGTCGGTAGATAAATTTAATTTCCTGCTTTTGCGCTTTTAAATTCATCATTTGGACCCAAAGGAGGGGTCCAAGCCTGAATAGGGCCGTATTGGTCCAAAGGACAGGAGGTGGATTCAGGCCCGAGTTATACCATTAGGCCCGAATTGATTGTTGGCCTAGTAAGAGGGTTACACGAATTTCAAATCAAGTTGTTAAGCCCAAACAGGGTACTAGTAACCACATCAACAACATTGGTTATAAAAAATTTCCCGATGTCTAAAGGTTATAGGACTATGTTGTTGTTATCTCTCAGTATCGCAAGCAGCCATCGTTGTCTTTGAATCCCTTGTCGCGACATGAGTCAAAAATGCCGAAGTAAGCCTACGAGCACCTGGCACGTGTCATTTCATATTAATATGACTTTTATATTGTATTTAATTCCTAATATTCATAATAAATTAAAAAACAATTCTGAAAAATAAACCAACAACAACTATGCACTCATTGAATGATTGTCTTCCTCCTAAAGCTTTTAAAAATGTAATTTTAATAAATTTTTTTATTGTATTTAAATCCTAATATTCGTAATAAATTCAAAACAAATTTGAAAAATAAACCGACACCTACTATGCACTCATTGAGAGATTGTCTTCCCCCTAAAACTTAAAAAAAATGTAATTTTAGTTATAAAAATTACAAATGATAACAAACATCAAAACTGTTTTTAGACAAAGCACAATAGTACTTATACTTTCGTAACATAACACTAAGGTTTATGTAATGCATTGGTGGCCATAAATACAAATATATGAAATCCTGATTTTAGCCTGCTAATATAGAAGGCATTGTCATAAGGAGTTCGTAGCAATTATCTGTTTATTTTTCTCATACTTTTGTATATGTTTTATAATTGTTGTAAAATTTAGGGTTTAGGGTTTAGGGTATATTGAAACGACGCCGGTTTTCTCTTCACTGTTTTTGGTCAATTACACCCTTGGTAACGTGCATTCGAATCCCAAGAAAACCAAAGCCCACCTAATTGTTTAATATTTAAGACGTCGGTTTATGACAGAGTGACGTGAAAAGTGTTTACTACGGCGTTTTCTTCAATATACCGAACCTAGAAAAGCTTTACAACGTCGGTATGTTTAAAAAACTCGTAGTTGTAGATCCATATTAAATGACGTTTGGTTTGTACTTTCCGTCGTCTTTAAAAAACGCGGTCTTTTGAAAATTTGGACCTCGATCTAAATTTTTCAGAATTCCCTTTGACCCTAAAACATTTCGCTCTCTCTTTTCAACTCAAATTCTAATCTTAAAGTTTTTGCTCTCCATCCTCCATTGTATCAGATTGTGATCTCCTTCTCAAAGCATTGGTTATATTCTCTAAGCTCTGTCTACTTGTAAGTGCAAATCCTAATCTCTTTATTTAATGATATTTTGTTATGGCTTCTTAAATCAATAAATGATTTTGTTGGTTTTGGTAGCTATGGGTTCTTAACATATGTTTTGGGAGCTATGAATCGGGAATAGAATCTGAAAACCCCATTTAGTGTTTGCACGCTTATCCTAATAACTCTCATTATGGGTTCTTATATGTTTGGTTTCTTGGAAAATGATTGGGAACTGGAGATTTATGTTTTGGGCTTTTGTAACCTACGATGACGGTCGATGGACCAAACCGTCGTCTGTATTGTCGTTATACGTCGGTAGTTCAAAAACTACCGTCATATGAATTTTTTTTCTAGGTTGGGCTTTATGTTACCAAAATTAGAAGTTACCCCAGAGGGGTTTAGAAGCCCAGACCTTTGAGAACCAATTGCAAGGAAATAAACTTACAAGTTAAAAATTAAATCGCCATTAATGTTGATTTAATATGGACTAATAAGTTTTCAATTGGTTAAATAATTAAGCCCAGCTTCTAATCTCTCCAAAGGCTCAAAATTTGATCATCACTGTTTATCACAATTTC